CAAATATTCTAGTTAGGTCTTTAGATCTATCATTTTCAGCTCTAGGTCTTGGGAGACGAAAACCAAGGGGCAACTTGACATACCATAGCCAACCCAATGACCTATGAGGTTTTAGACGTGCATGGAGGGTCAATGCAGTTGTTCGTGTTTGTAGGAGCGTGTTGAGATTCAAGCTTCCACATAAAAGGTACACACATCCTTTCAAGTTTATTTATAGTCTTCCAACACTTTGTATATGGTATCAAAATCACTCATGAAACACGTTCTAGAAATTTGAGAATGGATTCAAATGAGTTTCTTGAAGTGGGGCCTCTTAATTGCAAACCAAGTAATATGAATGATTGTTTATACCTCCATAAATAGAGGACGAATTATAGAAGAAAACAAGAGTGAAATACATAACAAAATCTCCAACAATTATTAGGAAAAAATAGCCTTCTACTACGTCCACCTTTTCATTGGAAAACCAAAGTACTAAGAACAATTTTATGCAAATTTTGTTCTTGGTATAAACTTTAGTGTTTCTTATTATCTCTCGTGTTGGGGTTTGTCTTAGGAATGTGCAAAATTTTGACAAACAATAGGTGTAAGGCCGAGTTTCATTGTATTCATATGCTTATTCACATATCCTTAGTACACTAGATGTGGAGGCGAATAAAGTCTAAAAGATGGCGTAGTTACTACGTGCTTTGAAGCAATATTTCATCATTTATCATAACCATAACCCACATGTTACAAAACTCCTCCATCAGTAGTTTGGTGAGAATCAGTTTGTGAGTTCGAGAACTTTAAAAAATTGCTGTAATTAAGTGAAGGTGACATGTATTATTCATTTAGACCTTCATGAGTAAAAGCGTTACGAATATTTAATTGACGAAGAGACAAACCTTGAGTAGCAACAATGACACTCCATTATATGTACAACTCTACAATTTTTTCTTCAAATAATTAAAAGATAATGAAAATTAGAACAAAAAAATTTACACCTAACCATGACCATCAACATACCCGTTTTCGCTGTCATAGTTCACGTACGTGCATGTTTGGTAATGCTTTCTAAAACTAACCTTCAAAAGTTGTCATAAATATGAAAATTAACAGCCCGTTGGTTTAGATTTTTATAGGGTATTTTCAAATTTCCGACGTTCCAAATTTAAATCTCCCTTCCATTAATATCGTTCACTAAAAAAAATCGAAAAACATTAAACAACTATTTTTTAATTTCACCATTTCCTTCTCTTTTAAATGCTTACTTTTAGAATTCTTGCCCCTCTACGGAAATCTGCTTCTTGCACAGATTTTTCTCCATAGAATCACTTCAACATTTTCCTCTTACACTGCGCTTAGACATGCAACTTTCCACTAAAAGAAAATAAGTTTTTCACCTCTCTAATGGTAATAATTTTTCCTTTTAGCTAATTACAAATACCGACACAGTGAAAGAATGAAGTAAATGAAAAACAGCAGCTAGCTACTGCACACCCAGGGTATATAAAGAAAAGAAAACCCTAAGAACTCAAACTCTATATAAAAAAAATACTCTAGAAGCAGCCGAAGCCACCATCCATTAGAACAACAAACCCCTATATCGGCTCTGAGAACAAAAACACGATACAAAGGATGAACCTTTCTCTTTGATTTGCAGCGAATTTCAAATGAAGCTAAGGAATGGTTTTAGGGATCTTTGATTCACGCATTTGTTTGGGTTCAAATGTTGGAATAATTGAATCAGGTATGCTTCTACATCTTGGATATCGATCTGTTTATGTTGCGTTTTGGTGAGCTGGGTTTGTTTGCGCTTACGATATCCAGAATTGTAATCTTGGAATTTTCTTCTTTGAATTCTTTGATTATTCATTTGAGTATTCATCATGTCTACCCGTAAGAATGTAAAAGGGCATAGAAGAGATGCTCAACCTTTGTTGATGAGATCCAGTTTAACGGAAGAAATCTTGTTTGACATCCTTGCAAGATTACCCGTGAAATCTCTTTTGCGGTTCAGATGCGTTCACAGATCTTGGAACAATTTAATTATTAGCCCTAGTTTCATAAAAGCCCATCTTAAAACGAATGTCGTGCAAAATTCTTGTGATCATCTACTCATCCACACTGACATGAGCAATTGCTTGTCACTCTTTGATGCTGAAACATTTTCCAAGCGTTTGGATTTAGAGCTTCCTGGTCATGATTTTGGTTTCGTCGTTCACGGTTCGTGCAATGGATTGGTTTGCATCTCTAATTCTGCATTTATGACCTTGGAGAGTCCGGTATATCTATGGAACCCATCAATATAGCCTTCAACATACAACTGTTTTCGTTCATCTAGGGTTTGGGTTTCATGGTGAGGTTGATGACTATAGGGTTGTGAGGGTTTCGAGGTTTCTATGCAACAAAAGTATCTTTGGGATTGAGGTTTACAATCTTAGACTGAATTGTTGGAGGACAATTACCGCGCTGCCTCCTGTTTCAAATGATGTCAATTTTTTGCAGTCTGCGTGCATTTTCCTGAAGGGAGTTGTCTATTGGATCACAAAGGAGCCATAAACATAGCCCTTCCATCCTTACTTTTGATCTCGGCAGCGAGGTTTTTCAAAAGATTCTGCTTCCTGAGACAACGGTAGAAGTGCCCACTGACGTCGGTATTCAAGTGGTTGAGAACTCAATCTCCTTGTTCCAAGTAAGAATAGACAGACTGCTTGGCTTGTACTGTGACATAAACGTGTTGGAAGTGAATACTTGGAAAATGATGCAGACAATTATTTTTCCATACTCTAAATTAGCATGGCCATTAGGGATGGAAGCAGATGGCAGACTTCGGCCTGGTTTGATACTGAGATGATTTTGAAAAAAGCTAATATAAAAAAAAACTGGGAGCTGTTTTTGTGTTTGGTAAACATTTAGCTTCAATTTTTTTTCACAGTTTTGGGTGAAAAAAAAGCCAAAAACAAGAAGCTGCAAAACCCAGCTTTGAAAAACTGGTTTTTTTTCACATCTGTTTTACATAAAAGTTTATTAAACACTATAATACTGTTTTTTTTTTTTTTAAAAACACTTTTACAAAAAAGTTTACCAAACACTCTGCTTCTTTATTTCACAGCTGCTTATTCTCACAACACAACAGAAGTGATTTTTTTTCAAAGCACAGCAATACCAAACCAGCCCTTCATTTGGCTATAAAAGGCGACAATCTAGATCATGCACCCAGAATTGGCTTTATTTGATCCCAAGTCTATCGAAATTAGGGTTACTGGAATCGGGTTGAATTGCGAGTACTTAGCCTACGCTGATGTCTAAACTGAGAGCCTAATTTTACTCAACTGAAGTCTAATTTTGACTTTGGTTCCAAGTCACATTATGTACGCATGCATATGTTTGGTAGACTATCTTGCACGCTTCATTAGCAAAATTTAGATTTGGTTTGGTGTTGTGTAATCACGAGTAACATGTTTTAATAAAAAATGAATATTGTCTTGTTGATACATTAATATGGAATCAGATCCCCTCTTGAGCATGGGGACCGGAGCCTGCTGAGCAGCCCATCCGGGCTCTATAAATTTGATCCAACGGTTGTAATTATTATAACTTTTAGAGGGGTTCTCTGTTTGAAGCCGTTGAAACAAATTTCAAGGGCCTAGATGGGCTGCTCAGTTGGCTTCGGTCCCTATGCTCAGAAGGGGATCCAATTCCCATTAATATTACTTAGTAATGTTTTTTGGTCATAATGATACTTTGCATTAATGACAAAAAAATAATACTTATGATTATTTTTATATTACTATTTACGCGTTCCATTTTTAGCAATCTACACCACACAACGAATATTTTCTATTTTTTTTTTCAATCGGGAGTTTATGGGGCTAAAAGAAGTAATAATTGAAAATTACAAACCATAGTTTAACTTCAAAATCGTGAGTTTATGTTGGTGACTGAAATACACCTTCACAATGTAAGCAATCCAAAGAAAGTTCGAACTTCATTAAAGAGAAATGTTCAGGCAAAACCCCAAAAGCAAGAGATGATGCAACAAAGTCAATACACAAGTTCCAAAACGAAAAAAAAATTAAATAAAAAGACATAAGCGTGATACTTTAATCTCACTATATCTAAAGTTCAAACCATCTCTGTTCTTCCTCATCTGCTCCATAGCGTAGCATTGACAGTAGAAATATCGTACATAATAATAATAAAAAGTTATAAGCTTAAAGTTTTCAATACTATTAGCAATGTTAGATTTAGGTTTAAATTCAACCTATATTTTAAATTGAGTCCAATTTTAAAATACCTATATCATAAGAACACTATAAAAAATTTCAAGTGAAACATATTTAAGGTAGAACTGAATACAACTAATTTTGAAAAGGTATATTACAAGCAAAAAATATCTATAATATAGGTAGCTAAAAATGATTTATCTGTAATATAGGTAAATTGTTGATTTTTTATTTATGATATAGGTATATTAAATAAGTAAAAAGACGGAATACAACATAGTTGATGGGATTAAATCTTATGATTTAGTATATTACATACTTTAAAATTTTCAATGTTATTAAAAACTTAACAAAAAGATAATAGTTATTGGACCTGTTTTAAAAAAAAATGAAATTTTCTAATAATAGCTCACAAAAATAAATATTGTCCACCGTGCACTAAAAACCCAACGGAATGTCATTTTTTCTAATCCCCAACGATCATGCTACAGATCATTGGCGCTTCCACAACCCATATATATGTCACAGTACTGACTCCCACTTACTCTTACAAGGAACAGTTCGTTATACACTGTATTTTATTGCTTCAAGTTTCCATTGCAAACTCACAATTAGACGAGTAAAAGTTAGACTACCATGGAAAGGACCCATCAGTTGGACACTCTAATCCTGGATTATATCACAACAAAGACAGAGTCTGCGAGAAAAGAGTGTTAAAACATATTCTTCCGAAAGCACATTACGACTTACAACACCCGAAAACAGAATTCACGACACAGAAATCAGAATTCAATCGAGAAGAATCAGACTCTCACTATAAGAACCGACGTACCCGTCATGAAGTTTAATTCCAAGGGGTTTGACTTGGCGTGGTTCTGGATTATACAAAACGAAATCTCCATTTAGCATAGCAATATGAACTCCACCAGTTGCTCTAAAACCCAATGGCCACGTTATCCATCCACGTTCTGGAAGAACAATCGTGCGGATCATTTTCCAAGTCTCCATTTCCAGAACCCATATGTCACAGTAGTAATCCTTCCCATCTTGTCTGTAATGGAACATAGAAACTAATTTCTCAAACACGCCAATACTGGTGTGAAAAAACTCTATGCCTTTGCCCATCTTATCAGGAAGCACAATCTTTTGAAAAACCTCACCGACGAAATCAAAAGAAAGGATGGAAGTGCACTGCTGAGAATGGTCCAATACAATCCAGTACACAACACCATCAATGTATGCAAATGAGTTAGTGTTGAAAGACGAGACATTAGGTGAAAGAGGAGGAACTGCGCTAATTCGTTTCCAGGCATCCAATCTAACGCTGTAAACCTCAACTTCGAAGATACATTTCTTCCCCAGAAAGCTCACAATCCTCACAACCTTATAGTCATTTTCCCCACTGTGAAACCCAAATCCAGTTGCATCGAAACGGATTGTGTGCTGAATAAGGCCTTTCGGTAGCCTCTTGAATTTTCTGATTGATGGGTTCCATAGATATATAGGATTCCTCAAACACCGACCTACATGATTAGAGAGGCAAAGCAATCCATTGCAAGAACCATTAATGCGTAAACTTATATTCTCCTGCTCCGGAAGCTCTAAATCCAAACACTTAGCAACTGTATCCCGACAGCAGAGCGAAAAGCGATAATTTGCAGTGCGGAGAAGAAGATAATCGTATGAATCTCGCATTATATTTTTTCCAAGATGGGCGGTTTTGAAATCAGGGCTGCTAATTAAAGTGTTCCAAGATTTGCAGACACATTTGAACCGTAAAAGAGATTTCACAGGTAATCTTGCAAGGATTTTAAACAAGATTTCTTCCGGAATATGTTTTTTTCTTCGTCTTCTTTCATACTTAAGGACAAACATGGTGAAGCTAAACCAAAGGCCTAATTACCAGAACATACAAAGCATTTTGGAACGAAAATTCCATGCACCATTACGAGAAACCCAAATCAAGAAAAGCTCATGAAACACGCAACAGTTCTTGGATGATCCAGTCGAACAAAGTAATCAGATAAATGCCCGAGAAGTATATCATACCTCAAGTATGCCTACGGAGTTTCAATTCGAAACCCTAACTGTTACTTGTTGATCAATCATGCAAATGCGGGCATCCAAGAGACACTGAATGATCGAATCCGCGCCCAGACTGAAAGAACCCCGAACCCCACTTCTTGGTTTTCAGGAGCTGATCGGCTTCACCGTCTTCCCTTGGTGGCTTCCTTCACATTCAACCTTTGTTTGCCTTTTCGTTCTGGCGGGGTCTTTTTCCTTTGATTTTGTATCGGTTGTCAGCTTGCCTTGGTTGCTGAATCGTGTTAAAAGTTAATACTCTGGTTCTATTTTTGCTGTCAAGTTTGAAGTTCGTTTATGTAATTTGCAATATTTTGGATCATGAGATGTTCCGCCACATGTACGGCTCAGATCAGTTGTTATGTTGTTGCCCTATAGTCGTAGGAGTTGTCCCAAGTATTGGGAGAATTCCAAAAAAGATCAATCTAAATAAATGTCTCTTCGTGAAAAGCTATTGCTGCTCTGATTTTCTTTGTCTCTGCCGCTGCTGCCATTTTTGTTCATATCTTCATGTTTTTCTCCTCTTTTATGTATAGTTTTGAAGAAGATGGAGATTGTCTGAATGAGTAGTGCTAGGTGATCAATTTTTTTTAGATCAAATTTGTAAAATATGTAATATGTCACTAATAAAAAATAAGCACGTTAATCAACACTTATTAATAATCTAAGCATCAACAATCACATCATATTGTTTACAAAATTTGGTTTTGAAAATTTAGTCTTTCTAGCATTATCTTGGTTTGAATACCAACGAATTGGACCGATTTGTAATAGCTGTATGGGCGTCATCTTTGGATTAGTTTAGTTGGCCATGTCAGCTTATATATGAGTCAGTTTGATATTGACATGCTTTTTAAGAAAAACTATTTTTGTTGTGTTTTAAGAATAATTAAATGTAAAATAGAAAAGATTAGCGTTTGGTAAACTATATTTTTATAAGGGTTGTGATTATGAAAAGCATAGTAAAAGCATTTGATATATTTTTAATGTGAAAGTGATATAATTGTATATAATGACAAATATGAAAGTTGTAGTGGGGGTGGTGGCAATGACAATGGTGACAATGGTAGCATTTATGGTGGGGGTATGGTGGTAGTGCCATTAATGGGGTGTGATGGTTGGGCGTAGAGGTAAATATGGTGATAGAGGCGACGGTGGTGGCATTTGTGGTTATGATTGTAGTTATAGTGGTGGTGATGGCAGTGTCGGCAACAATGGTGGTGGCAATGTTGGTGATGGTGGTTGTGGTTGTGGTTGTGGTTTTGGTGGTGATTATGATTGTAGTGGTGGTAGTTACGGTTGTTGTGGTGGTGGTGGCAACAATGGTGGTATAAGGTTAGTGTTTATAGTGGTTGGTACTGGTGGTCACTGTATTCTCCGAGGGCTAAAATGTACGTGTAAAGGATAGAATAATGTAATTTATAAAACTAATGAAGGTATTCTAGGTATTGAAAAGGTTCCCTAAGGGCTTAATTAACTCCAGTTTTTATTAAAACAGTTGTTAAAAGCAATCTACATGCTGCTTTTAAACGGTGCTATCTAAAGACCACTGCTTTTAATAAACAAGATATTTTAGCTTTACTAAACATTTTTCTATTGCAAAGACTATACCAAACAGGGCCTATAGTTGGTAGGGATCTGCTTAATTGTTAAGCTACCATACAAACCTATAGAGACGAGTAGTGTTTTACTTACCATATGTTTGTGTCATCTCTTTATAGAGGTAGAGATGGGATAAATAGATGGTAAAAACAATAATTTTGTATAAATACTCATTTGTGTACTATTTGTGCATTACAGAACTTGCGATTTCTCTCTCTAAAAATACATGTTCTCTCTCTGTGAATTCTCGATCTCCTTGATTTTTAAGGTAATGAGTTTGAACCGGTTCACGCTGTTTGGACTTTTAATTGCCTTTTTTAGGCTATAGATTATTTTAATTCTTTTTAAAAAGGAAAAACATTACAAAGAAGTTCTTTACGGATCTTTAAACCGTACATATCAAATACATGACCTAAATTAGCTAAGCCATGTATTTGTCTTGAAAGATTTCATATGTCTTGTATAAGAGACTGAATTTGCCATAAAATTTGCAATTGTCTCTGCAGGCTTTGGACTAAGATTTAAGAGTCCCCTTCCAGAGCGACATATTTCACCTGAAGTCGAACTGCCCCAGTGAGAAATACAAGATTAGTTTGTCCAAGACAATTTCCAACAAATTACCTACAACAGCATGACCAATTTTTAAGCATGACCAATATTAGGTGGTTTTGTAATTCCAATATTAGTAAGACTGTTCCCTAAAAATGAAGCAAATTAAAGAACATTAACGAAAAAGGTGAGATATATCTTCAGAATGCAAATTATGTTGGAATTTGGTGGCATAGATTAGAGCCACACTTCGTAATATGAGTCTTTGTATGATTTTTCAACCAAGTAGAATGGGCCTTTGAAGTGATGCCTCTTGATTTCAAACCAAAGTAATGTGAGCCTTTGAATGATTGTGTAACCAAGTAATATGAAACTTTGAAGTGGTGCCTCTTGATTACAAACCAAGTAATATGAGCCTTTGAATGATTGTTTAACCATTTCATAATGACACACTTATGGTACCTCTATATGACACATCCCAACCCAAATATCCAAATGGCACCTAGATGGCATGTGTTGGCCGCCACCCAAGGATGACGAAAGCCATGAGTGTGTGAAACTATGAGCGAATCAAGGGACAATCAATTCAAAAATATGCCAGAACTAACATTCATATGGAAGATGCAACACAAACTAAAATAGAAGTAATTGAAATCCAACCTAAACACGAAAGAAACCAAGTATCCAACGTTCACAAATCTGAATAAATATGTACGAATATGTCCAGAGCATACCACAACATGAAAATGCGAGAGAAAGTAAGGCATCAAGTGAAAAATGATCATAAAAGGGAGTCATACTCAAATGGAGGGAGGCAAGTCACTAGTAGGGAAACGCCTCGAAGCTCGGGTTGTACTCTTCGTCGCTATGTCCTGAGGGGGTGCAAAAACCAAAAAGGTGAGTGGACCAAAGTTTATAATAATACTAATAATACGAAAAACCAATTTATTTCAGAACATACTAACCCCCTGTTTTGAAAACACATATATAATACTACATATAGGTTTTATAAAAACCCTAGCATGCCATGTAAAACATTCGTAAAACATCTGTAAATCGTATCCGTGAAGTACTCTACTAGGGGTATCATAGTCGCCTGAAGGCAGTACCTGTCCATCACCTGAAGGTGAAGCTGAATAACCTCTCTATCACCCGAAGGTGAAGCTGTATAAAATAGCATACATCCATCTCCTCTATCTCATGTTTAGCTTCTTCTATGTGAATGTTGTATTTTAAACTCTCGTATCAAACATCAGAGCTCAAAAGCTCAAACCTCGTCTCATAAATCCATGATAAACGATAATCATAATTCTATAACAAACATATACGTGAATCCATAAAATTTCACAACCGAAAATCCAATGATTCATAACCTTTAGTATTATAAGAATCCGATAAATCATAATTATTCCGTAAAAGAAATCTAAATAAATCATAAGTATGAAAATCTATAAAACATATTATAAATCATGCTCCATTCATAAAATATGCAGTGCATGCTAGGCCAATATTTTATAAAAAAATATATATAAGTTATAAAGAGGTCCACTCACTTTTTCTGTTTTGCGCCCCCTCAGGAGTTAGAATTGAGGCATCGATCCCGGCGTCAAGACTCTATAGCATAGGTATCCTTGAGTCTCGTCAGTATAGGTATCATTCCCTTGTTCGTATATTTTTCTAGTACTTCTTCCATATTATTTTTAGTAAGTGTATGCTCTGAACACGTTCATCCTTTGGCATAATCGTTCTAATTACTTATTCTTTATTTGCATGCATGTTTAAAATGGCCGTCACCCTCAAATGTCGGTCAGCACGTGCCTACCCTGGTATGTGGGGATATCGGGGTTGGGGCATGTCACTATAAATAGAGGACAAATTCTAAAAGAAAACAAGAGTAAATACACTACAAAATCCCCAACAAGTATTAGAAATATTAGCCTTCTAATACGTCCACCTTCTCATTGAAAAACTAGAGTACTGAGGATAATTCTATGCAAATTTTGTTCTTGGTATAAACTTGAGTGTTTCCTATAATCTCTGTGAGTTTGGGGCTTGTCTTAAGAATGTGCAAAACTTTGAGAAACAATAAGTGTAAGGCTGGGTTTCATTGTGGAGCCGAATAAAGTCTGAAATATTAGATGTGGAGCCGAATAAAGTCTGATAAATTAGACTTTGAGAAACATTAGATGTGGAGCCGAATAAAGTCTGAAAGATAGTGTAGTTACTACGTGCTTTGAAGCAATATTTCATCCTTCATCTTAACCATACCCACATGTTACAAAAAAATTCCAATAGTAGTTTGGTTCATGAGAATCATTTTGCAAGTTTGAGAGCTTTAAAAAAACTGTTGTAACTAAGTAAAGGTAACATGTGTTCTTCATTCAGATCTTCATGAGTAAAAAGCGTTTGAATATTTAGTTGACGAACAATCAAACCTTGAATAACAACAATGACACTCCATTATATGTAGCACTCTATAATTTTTCTCAAATATTAAAAAATAATGAAAACTAAAAACTAAAAATATTTACACATGACTCACCATCACCATCAACACGCTATTTTGCCATCCTGGTTCACGTACTTGCATGTTTTGTAATGTTTTCTAAAATTGATTTTCAAAAATTGTCATAATTATGAAAAATTAAGAGCCCGTTGGTTTAGCTTTTTAGCAGGCATTTTTAAATTATTTAGGTTCTAAGTTTAAATCTCCTTCCCGTTAATATCATTCACAAAAAAGAAAAATCGGAAAACATTAAACAACTATTTTATAATTTCACCATTCCCTTCTCTTTAAATGCTTACTTTTAGAACTCTTACCCCACCAAAGAAATCTCCTCCTTTCACAGATTTGTCTCCATAGGACACTTCAACATTTTTCTCTTACACTGCGCTCTGACATGGAGCTTTTCACTAAAAGAAATATTAGTTTTTTACCTCCATAATGGTAATAATTTTTCTTTTTTTTAAATTACAAATTAATACGGACACAGTGGAAGAAGCAAGTAAAAAACAGCAGCTAGCTACTGCACTCCCAGGGTATATAAAGAAAAGAAAACCCTAAGAACTGAAACTCTATATAATAAAATATAAAAAAAACTCTAGATGCAGCCGAAACCACCATCACCATTGGAACAACAAACCCTTTCGGCTCTGAGAACAAAAACGCTATACAAAAGACGACCATTCTCTTTGATTTGCGGCAAATTCCACATGAAGCTAAGGAATGGTTTTAGGGATCTTTGATTCACGCATTTGTTTGGGTTCAAATATTGGAATAATTGAATCAGGTATGCTTCTACATCTTGAATCCGGTATATCTATGGAACCCATCAATCAGAAAATTGAAAAGACTTCCCAATAGCCTTCAACATACAACTGTTTTCGTTCATCTAGGGTTTGGGTTTCATGGTGAGGTTGACGACTATAGGGTTGTGAGGGTTGCGAGGTTTCTATGCAACAAAATTATCTTTGGGATTGAGGTTTACAATCTTAGACTGAATCGTTGGAGGACAATTATCGCAGTGTCTGCTGTTTCAGATGATGTCAAAACTTTGCAATCTGTGTGCGTTTTCCTGAATAGAGTTGTCTATTGGATCACAAAGGAGCTATTTAGGTTAATATTTGAACATTGGACTTAGATGAAGGAAAGCACAGGGGTGCCAAATTAAAGAGGACTTGCCTGAAGCCTAGTATCAAGGCCAGAGGCAAATTGAGGCCTTCTCAGCCAAAATGCAAGCCACGTGCTTACTATTGAAGTGACAATGAATGAAGACTAACCTACTACCAACCAAAGAATACTTTCTAATGGCATTCCAAGTAAAAAGTTGATGACTCACTACCCTCCAAGTGCTTTTGGGCAAGAACAAAGTTACAGCAATAGTAATAGGAGGAAGAGGCCCCAGAGACAACGACACTCAACCAATCAAACAAACAAACATACAAACTCTGCTCTCAAGCCAGATTTGCATTCAAAAGCTGAAATCAATCCAAATTCAGTTTTTTTTAGCGACAAGCTATCTCTTGTCTAGTTTAAAAGCTCTATTATCTCCCTCAGTGGTGTAATATCGATTCCCTTGTATAAACTTGTTTACCATCCATCCCTTTTTAGCATATAAACCCCTGTTAATTCAAAGAGAAGTGATTGCAAGAGGTTTAACCTTGACAGACAAGGTGAAATCTTGCCCGAAGCTCTTTGTTTGTTTTCTAAATTTGTAGATCTATTACTTAATGCCTTCTTTAGTATGTATTCAAGTCATATCCACCTGTTTTCCTACTTTAAGAGTCTTATTTGCATTTGGATCTGGTTAGATTAATGGATATGTTATCATTAAAATCAATCAAGAACCAAGCAAATGACTTAAGGGGATCTGGACACCCTTCATTCGAACATACAAGACTACGAACTAAAAGTCCTTGTTCACAAGGCAAGAAAAAGAACTTAATGTGGACTTAACCCATCCACGACAGTTTTTTTATAACAAGAAGTCCAAGTAACTTGGGGCGCAAGTAATCGACTTAAAACACTCTTGTTCTACATCTACTATACTGAGATAGCAGTGGCATGCCTAGCACTCAGTTAGTTTTGATTGCGAGCCTCAAGGCCTACACCTAAGGCCCCACAAAGGCACCTTTCAGAACTAACTTTGTCCTCTTCTTGTAGCACTTCAATAAGCAAGAGCCTGACTACACATCCATAGTGCCAATCCCTTGGGGAGCTGTACTGAGGTCTGAGGATCCTTCTCCAAAGAAAACTTCGCCTGAACAGGAGCCATCTCAACATAGCCCTTCCATCCTTACTTTTGATCTTGGCAGCGAGGTTTTTCAAAAGATTTTGCTTCCTGAGACAACGGTCGAAGTGTGTCCACTGACGTCGGCATTCAAGCGGTTGAGAACTCAATCTCCTTGTTCCAAGTAAGAACAGATATGCTTGGCTTGTACTGTGACATAAGCGTATTGGAAGTGGATACTTGGAAAATGATGCAGACAATTATTTTTCCATACTCTAAACTAGCATGGCCATTAGAGATGGAAGCAAATGGAAGACTTCATTTGGCTATAAAAGGCGACAATCCAGATCACCCAGAAATTGGTTTTATTTGATCCCGAGTCTATCCAAATTAGGGCTACTGAAATGGGGTTGAATTGCGAGTACTTAGCCTATGTTGGTGTCTATACTGAGAGTCTAATTTTACTCAGCTGAAGTCTAATTTTGACTTTGGTCCTGAGTTACATTATACATGCATGCATATCTTGTAGACTATTGCGAACCTTTAGCAAAATGTACGTTTGGTTTGGTGCTATGCAATCGACTCGAATATTTTAATAAAAATGAAATTTCCTGCTGATACACTAAAAGAAATAGTACTTATGACTATTTTTGTCTTGCAATTTATGCATTCCATTTTATAGCAATCTATACTCCAAGTCGAATACTTTTCTTCTTTTTTTTTTTTTTTTGCGCTCTTATATAGGAGTGTGTGAGGCTAAAAGGGATATTAAAATCACTAATTAACCATAATTGTACTTCAAAATCGTCCCGTGAGTTTATGTTGGTGACTGATATACACCTTCACAATGAGGGCTTATTCGAACTTCATTAAAGAGAGGAAAGGCAAAAACCCAAAGTAAGAGATGATGCGACGTGGAGAGGAACAAAATCAATACGCAAAGTTCCAATCAAAAAGGGAACAAATTCAAACAACCAAAGAAAAGGTAGCAGTAATTAAGCAAAGTACAAAATCCTTTTTTCTTCATAAACAATACAAAATCCTTATGTAACCATCATCCAACTTTGAAAATATATGCGATAGTGTTAACCCAAAAAAGAAAAAACGATATATATGTGATACTGTTAGGTGTAATATATTTTTTTTTTTTAACAAACGATATTATTTACACTAAGTGAGAGGGGGTAGGCTTCACCTCATAATGAGCTAACAATAATGTTGTTCAAATCCACCTTTGACGAGAATTGAACCTAAGACCTCTCATTTACATGTGAAGAGGAATACCACTAAACTATAGTACTAAGTGTAATATTTGTAAGCTTAGCAATTTGTAAATTGTCTTAATGTATACGGTCTTTCTCTTAACTTTACTATGTCTGAAGTTCCAACTATTTCCCTCTCCCTCTCCTTACTGAAGTATTTAGAGTTAGACATATCGTTTAGAATATTAACAAAAATAAAATTAAAAACAAATTAAAAAAAAAGAAAAAAAAAAAAAGAATTATAAGCTTAAAGTTTTCGGTAATATTAGCAATATCTGTCAAAATAAATATTGTCCAACATGAACCAAAAACCTAACAAAATAACATTGTCGGGTAAAAAAATGAGGTGTCGGATTTTGGGTTAGATGAAATAATTCGTATCGTGAATGGCTTTGGGAAAGTAATTTTGAGAAGCCTACTTCAAACCATAGAAGGGATATTGTTCTGATGACCTTTCAAGTGGAGGTAACATGTATCACTTGTAAAAGCTATTATCTCCATGAGTAAAAGCTTTTGGAGCATCCAATTGATGAAAGATCGACATTGAGCAATAACAACTGCTTAGTACTACGATTTAGTAGTATTTTTCTTCACTTGTAATTGAAATGTCTTACATTCGATTTTCGCTAAAGACGAATTTGAACCACATCCGACCTTAATTTGGCTATGGAGTTAGAATCTCGTTTTTGCTCTGGGTTGGGTTTTTCTCTGAGTTTTTGTTTCTATGATTCTTTAGCGCGTGTTTATATTTTAGTTCTTCAATTTCATTTCGGGGTTTGTGTTGTTCATGCACTTCCCTTCCAACCTTTAAGACGGTACAGTTCCCATTTACCCACCCACACCTTATTGGCCCTTTTAATTCAATTTTTCTCCCTTGTTGGTATTTTACTATTTTTTATCCTTCCTTTTTGGTTAGGTTTTTTTTTTTTTTTTTTTTTAATCTTTCGACGAGTGTGGCATAGGTGGACTAAAATACATACCTTACTTTGCAAAAAATAAAGGTTCTTAACCGCACAAGTTACAAGTCTTATGCTCATTGCCCACACCCTTCACTATTTTAACATCAATATGGGTCGTACGGCAACTTGGATCTTTATGCTTCTATAGATATAACAGAAGAGATTTGTGTGGTCACGCAAAAGATCACGTAATCTCCCAAACACTCAACCAAAGAGAGTCCTTAGTCCATCCCGGGTCTACTTTCACAAAGATTCACTTGATTGTATGGGCATACACGTGACGTGATCCTCTAGGTAAAAATAAGAATTTCCCCCCTTGAAGGGGCCATTAAGATGTTAATTTACCACCAAACATCAACGGGTGCATAGCTTTGAACTGGAATAAATATAACCCTTCAGTTTTATAAATACAGGCTGCAACAATACAATTTATAATATACAAATTCTGCTTTTCAATCTCTATACATATAGAGGCAACTCCAGCATTTTGTTGTCAAAGATTGTATTTTCTAAGCTCTGGAGAGGTTCTTGAGGGGCGAATTATCGATTTAGTATATGCAATAGGCAAAGCAAGTAGTTTCTTAGCTTTGCTTACATAAGCCCTTCTTGTGAAGTTGTTGTAATCGTTAGCTTCTATCTCGTCCAGTATTTGGCGATATAGGAGTAGCGACGCCAATACCTGCAACGGTTGAATGTTTTGATCAGATGTTTTAGAAAAACTTGGACGGTTGATCGGATAGACACAATAATTTTTTGTGAAAGGTTAACTAGAACCAAGTAGGATCTAATATCTTCGTCAGTTTTTGTTTCATATTTACTAAACTTGTGAGGCTTACCGGCCATCTGCTGGCTTCACTCAATTCTGTCACTCCCTTCTCTGCCTCGTCGAAGAACATCCTTGCCCTCTTAATTTGATCCTTCATGAAACTCCTCCATTTGTCTGTGACCTTTCCAGCATATATATCAGCATCGGAGAGCCCTGCTTCTGCAAGCTCATCTTGGGGTAAATAAATTCTTCCTCTCCTTGCACTGCTCAAGAGAATGTTTGTCAGTGGGATACAAACTACAACATTAATGAAAGCGAGAGCTCCTACTACTAATATTGAGAGTAAGAGATCAAGAGAGAGTAAGAGAATGAAGTCTGTTATAAGATTCCATTTGCATCTCTGTCTCTTCTCTCGCTCTAATTCAACTAAAGTTAGAGAATCGTGTCTTGCAGTCTTATGTGACTTTCAAAAGCAAGCAGCTGAAGTATCAGACTTTGTCAGAGCTATCTTCAATTGAATATACCAGCTTACTCTATAGCTTTGGGCATTTTTGTTTCAACAATGTTGCTAACATGACTAAAATGTTCAGTTATAAATCGTTAATGTTGTATGCTTACTCCTCCCCAACATCACGGAGTATGTTTGTTAGCTGATTCGCAATTCCTAACGCCAAGGCAGCATTATATACACTCTCCGTTGTTGCTTGCGATTCAGTTGAAATGCCCATAACTGGAACACTCATTAATCCAACAGTTCCGGCAACATAATAGCAGTAAAGATATAGTTCATCGAAGTTTTGGTATCTTGACTTCCTGAGGTCCATTCTCATTCCTTCTATCATATCTTTGAATGGCTACAGAAAGAGCACAAGGTGGAGTCAGAACTCAGAAGTTAATCAAAAAGCAAAGCTTTCAATTAAATTCACAAGCTTTCCTGTTGTTTTGATTTAACTATCAATCAAATTGGAAAGGGAACTTTTCGGTGGATGAAAATGGATATGTATTAAACTTAAATGTTTCTTAGTTCCTTTTCACATTTCAAGATACAGTTTCAAAAGAAGAAAGATAAAAAGACAATTTGTATCACACATGCAAAAACGAAGTCTTTAAAGATGAAAGCAAAAAACTTAGGCCTTTTGACTTTATATAATCTTTGAGCAGTAATTCTAACCTGAATGTCAACCGGAAATTTGGTGACCGTATCTGACAAAGCAGCATCGAGCATATCAAATGGACGGCCTTGGAACAGATCGTCCAATCTCGATTCCCACCTATCTAAAGCTGTGGGTGTTATGTGTGAAGCATTAGGCCCATCAACAAGCTCATCCGTCCTCCTGCACCACACTGTATGTGCAAGAGATCATAAGGCAATATGTTTTGTCACTTGTGCTGAAATGAAGAGTAAGCATCCATGGCAAATATATGTTTCATAGAAAATGTATTATCTGAGAAGAACAGAAACGACTAATCTCCTGACCGCCTCTGTCATATGCTGCAGTACAATTTCTACTCCTCCCATTTCTCCTCTCAACCTCTTTTCTGTCCCTCTCTCCTCACAGACAGGAAGTACATTAAATTCGTTTCACATCGATGGTGGTGCATGGTGTTTTCGAAGTTTGAGAAGAAATTTTTGTAGCAATGCAGGCGTTCACATGTCGCAAGCAAATTATTCATTTAAGGAGAAAAGAAGAACATTACATGTTTTCATGGATCATTCAGATAGGACATGCGAAGGCTGGTCTTCAATAGTTAGAAGACGATGAATTTTCAAGACCTCTTGTCCTTAAATTGAATTTGAATTCAGACAAGTTGAAGATAATCAAATCATTCTTCGTAAACACAGATTCAGCGGACAAGTATGACTTTTATGATCTCACAGTTTCGCTCTCTGGTAAAGGTAATCTATCTACCAAATATATGGAATATATTTTGCTACCAAAAGGAATAAACGCTTCATTTAGGATTCAGTCCACAGTATCAGAATAACGGTTATAGTCACTCACCATATATTGCCCAGATGGCCCTTCTTCTTTCGGGCGTCATAAGGAGAGTACCTGAAAAGTGTAAAGCGAAAAAGAATTAGGTAACTCCAAAAGATTAGTAATCGCAGTCAGACCACTACTTTAGCTGCAAAGTTCAACCAATATGCCTTTAAACGGCCAAAATAAAAATTATGCAAGAGAGGACCAACCGAGGTAAAAGGTCTTGGCATACTCTGCACATACTTCTCCACATCGATCATAAGCTTTACTCAACAAGCTCAGATTCCCGGGAAGAATAATATCCGGCTTCACATCAAGATATCCATTAGACCTCAACTGCTTCTTAACCAAGGATGCCTGCTTCAGCACCACGTCATACACCTTCTGTTCCGACGAGACAGCTGATTCTCCAAGCGGGTTGGCCACCATGCTTAATAAAACTGGAAATTTGGCTTCACTCCCTAAACCAGACCCTCCTACTGATGAATACTTCACATCTGTGCTGAGAGAGCAAGATTTCCAATCCTGTTTCCCACCCATCTTTGCTCTAATCGAACTTCGATTCCCCAAAACAAACCTCGATGAATCTAAAATCCCATAGAATTTGAACACCTCGGTGTTGGGGGAAACAACCCAAACTAATGCCACAGACATGTTTGTTTCAACTTGAAAACACCAACCTCAGCCCACCAACCAAACAAACTCTAGCCAGATATGTCTTGTCGTCTTACACTTGTTTCTCAAACCTTAATTCACACAAAAACTCATTTCATTCAGTTTCGTCATCCTGTTTGAAAGCAAGGTATAAGCCCACAAAAATGGAGAAAAAAAAAACAGCCAAACAAGCTCTAACCACTTGATTCCTCACTCACCCAAAACACAAAAACAAAGGCTTTCTTATTAGGCTCCCGAATCCCTGTAACTCGATTTTAATCTCACTTTCTCCCTTAAAACTCAAACTTCGCCACTTAACTCCTGTAACTCGATCTTTGTTTCACTTGTAAATAAAAAAGCATTAACAACAACAACAACAACAACATAAATTGAAACTAAAATGGTCGACAACTTGACAAGCAAATAATCACTGAATGCCTGAAACAAATATTTGTAAGCAAAAAATGTGCCCACTTTTGTGGCATCAAGGAGGGGAAGTAGAACTATGGGTTCTTTACCTGTTTGTTGGGTTTGTTGGTTGCTGCTTTTGCTTAGAGACCCACTTCCACTGTCTACTTAAAGAAAAGGCAGCAGCAGCAGCTTCCAAAAAACCAAGTTCAAAGCGTCACCATCTTCCCCTAAAAAATACAAACTAACAACGGCCATTAAGACGTTTTCCTCCATAACCCGACACCTCACCTCTCCACTCTTCCAGACTCTCTCTCTCTCTCTAGATTCTCTCTCTCCAACTACAATGCGTTTGGTTCTTGACTTGTTTCTCTGTTTTCCAATTTCCTACAAAAATGTCTTTTCTTCTGGTTTTCTAATTTTTGTTTATATATTTTTAACCCTAAAACTGAGATTTTGCTGATTCATTTGTTTCTTGTTCACTCCCTCAAATCTTGGTTTTTTGGATTTGGTTTTTTTTTTTTTTTTTGGTATGCCAGTTGCAACCTTTTATCATACGAGAGGGGGCATGAAATAAAATGCTGCAAATGTTTCGTCCCTTTAAAGTTTCCTTCAATTTCAACTCGACCCGTTTGCAAGTTCGGGTTGACTTGGAAATTTTTTTTTTTAGAGTGCTGCTAGTTCCGCTGCTTGATTTATTTTTCCAACCACCTCATAGGCATTTATCATGAACATTTACATAAGTCCGTTTAATGAAACAAATGTGTGAATATGGTAGCACTTTTTTTTGAAGTATCTATGGAATGTTTTAATATATGAATTCTTCGCATTTACTAACACCTATAGATCAAAACATTCGATAATCAAATACTTCGCAACAACTAAAGAGTTCTCTACATCTATTTTGCAACACTCAATTGTTGACGTTGATGAATCACACGATATTGATTGAGGGTATGCTGAAATGCGTGTGGCCTTCAAAAAAAATAATTATCGGGTAAAGCCACCAACTAATGCTTTTTAAAGAATAAAAAATAAATAAAAAAACCTGAATTCTTCACATTTACTAACACCTAAAAAAAATGAACGATCGAATTCTCATTACTTCCTCCATTTCTAAGTTCTATAATTCTTCACATTTAATAACAATATTGTATGATATATTGTTATTGCAATTAGTGATTTCAAAAATTTAACATATTACTTTCATAAGTTTTGTTTCTAGGGAATTTTAACAAAATACTTTCGATACTGTTCACTTTTAACGAAAAATTACATTTTTACCTTTTCCTGGTACTACACCTTTATTTGTCATTTTTCATTAAAATTAAAGTTTTTTTAGACTTTTCTTTAGTTTTCTTTGTTTTCTATGCAAAGTTATGAGCACAATTTAGAGACATGCTTTGTTTTTTAGAAGTAAGATTCTCTTTCCTCTTTTTTTCCCTCTCCTTCCCAACGATCACAGTTAAAACACGTCAATATTTTATATTAATTTTTTTTTTATAGAAAGAGAAAAATAAAATAAAAAGTGTGAGAGAAATGGATGGAAAAAAAAATAGGAGAGAATTCTAATCCTTTGTTTTAAAGTATAAAAATGGCATGTCGGCCACATATGACACTGTTTATATTCCAAATAGGTGGACCAAATTAATAATTTATAACTTTGAAAAGTCGGTGATTTATAGAAAGGTCCGGACCCGTACCCGGACAAGAGACCCGAGAGTAAAAGTCCGACTTTATCCAGAAAGCAAGAAAATGGCAATCCAATAAGGATGACAACGCGGAAAAGCCGCCCAATCACTGCAGGATAACCTTATCAAATGCCAAACAAGAGAAAGGTGATGGGTGGGATAGTCCACGTGGCAAATGCTGAGCATGCAATTGAATCCTTTCACTTGATTAGGGGAGAGGAAAAAGTTGTGTGTAAATGAATCCAAGTTAGGTATTATAACATTTCACGAGTCAATACGAGTGTTCGACTAAGTTGATACATTTCACGTTGTAATTCACATCTTATAAGCCACATGGAAGAATACCACGTTACGTAACTGTATTTTATGTACATTGAAAAATTGCTATAAAACTAAGAGATATTTCTGACAAAAAACCCTTCACGAGGTGTTTCTATGGAGTAGACTACCATGACTTATATATTTATTTTAAAGTATAATTAAAATAAATATATTTGTTACAATCTAAGTGAATGATAACATCACATAATATTTTCCAAAAAAAAAAAAAAAAAAAAGACTCATGTAAATAGTGATGCCACATGCAAAGTGGCTATTGGACCGATTCGTGAACACGTGACAAATTTCTAATCAAGCGTGCAACGCAACTAAGACTATACATTAATTATAATAAAAACTAATGAAAATGATTTGAAAACTTTGAGTTTTAATAATAACGACAAAATAAAGGGTAAAGTAAATAGTACCAGGATTGACCTTTTAGTGTAAAAATGTAATTTTTCGTTAAAGTGAACAGTAACGTGAACTTTTCATTAAACCTCTAAAAAGAATATTCCTCAAAAAAATTAAGCGAGAAAGTGCGAGGGACGGTGTGGCGTACTGTAGCATTGTGGTGTGAAGTCATCTGGGTGGGTGATTGTCGTTTATTATTTGCCCAACTAAATATTCGAAGACAAAAAGTGTGAGGGCGGGGATGTGATTGCGATTGTCGTTTTTTTTTTAGTGTTTGCGTATTTGTATTGGACATGGAGTGTAAAATTGCGTCGGAAAGGACTCACATAGCTTGGTGTTGGGGGCCCATTGTCCACAAGTTTCGGTCGAGGGTTCCAATGTCGGTTATTTGGACACGTAGTCCTTTTGCACTTTCTCTGGCCTTCTATTGTTATATGTACCACCAATAATTCGTCACCATGCACATTTTTTCCCTAATAATATCATATATTTACGCTTAACAGATGAGATGTGATTAGTCATCCTCTTCGGATGTCTTCCATCAAGTTCATCAAGTCCACTAATCTGTATTCTTAAAATTTAATCTAACGGCTAGAGTTATTATAACTTTTAAAGGGACCTTCTGTTTGTAGCCGTTTGATCAAATTTCAAAGACTCTGATGAATGAACTTGTTGAAAGAAATCCGATCAGTCATAATAATTTGGTTTATACTCCGTTTAAGATCGTAATACTAGTATTGAGTTACATCCATAACCATGCATTTAATCTCATGTTAGCTAACTAGTCGTACAACCATGTGGAGGTGTGCCTAATTTATGTGGTATTTTTCTTAAAAATGAATCGATCGGTGGAGAAGTCACGGCAGTTGATACTTTCAGGAGTTGAGAGGAATCGCAAAGGCATTTTAGCCTTTTTCTTATCACCATCGTGTAATTCGCACACGTCAAAAATTGAACTCAAAACCAATCGTGTGAAATATGAATCGAAAATTCGTCCTAACCATTAAATCATCATGTGATGGTTCTAATCTATGTACTATTTAAAATAGGGCATTGGAGAAGAAACACTTGGAACCAGTGAAGATGACTTTTACCAGCAAAATGTTGATTGTGTCATGTGATATGTCACGATCCAAATTGAGGCACAAATATTTGAGATGGTCCAGGTTCTGTGAACTTGTTCATTTATCAAGAACTCTCTATTCCAGATTATTTTCTTTTATTAACCTGTAGGGGTTCTTTTTCTTTGATGATGCTGCCATGGTTTGATGACGTCAACTATTGTTTTGTAGGATGGTGATCTTTTGATGTATTTGTTATCAAAGTTTTCATACTCAAATTATAACTCGTGTATATATTTTGAAAATAAGATAAATCAATTATATTATTATAATGAGTAAAATAATGCATTACATAACTTATAATTTATGTTATATGTACCAAAAAAAATAAAATAATGTCAGACTCAAAAGCCGACATCTACATCGGACGACTCCCACACCTCGCTGACCTGATCTTTTGTGTCTCAATCTCCCTCTACAACTCAGTCCAACCAGAAGCCTATCTCATTTTTCTTTTGGTGAAAACCGAGAAGGCTATCTTGGATCAAGCCAGTGGGATGAAAAGATGGGTCCAAGATAGAGGGAGAAATTGGGTTGGAGAGGAAAAGGATCCTTTTCCTAGAGATCTTAGAAATCATGTGACCTCATTCGTTCATCGTACATCGTGAAATCAGAAATCATTTTAAAATTTAAAATTTAAAATTAAATATGAATAGCAACTCACGAAAATTGATTGCACAATATACGATGAACATATGAGATCATAGAATCCCTAGGATCCCTAAGAAAATTATCCTCATCGGATCCTTTTCCGGTTGGAGAGCCCCATCTGGCGGACTTGCGCAAACATTACATCAATTGGGCAATTAGCATGACCATCAATTTTTTATATTACGTTGCAAAAATGATCGGTGTTTATTTTTATTATGTAGTTATATCAACTTTGGATCCACAGTATACGATATCATTATCAAAACTGATTATTTATGCAACTAAATCTCAAAATTTGATTTTCGAAGAGGTTGAGTATTTTTGTCTGTGTGTGGGTTCAAATTCGGTAGGCCGACCTTAAAACACAATCTTCATTAAGCATGTTACACTCAAAAGTACTAAAATCCACATATAAATACATCCAACGTAATTTGAGTTTACAATTCACCCTCCTTGCAAAAATATTACTGGCCAAAATACGAAGGCTTCCCATCAAGCAAGAATTCTAGATATTTTTCGATCCACAATTTAACTGGCTTCTCGTCACACAGCAGATGTTTTTGAATGCTCAAATTGTACCAATTCAAAACATGCGAAACAACTGCAATGTTTTTCTTTAATGCAGATATATGTAACACATCATAGATACTACTAGATAGGTAAGGTGGAAGAGCTAATCTATAAGAAACATCACCATCACCAGCTAGCTTCAAACCTTCAAAAGGTCCAATAGAACGGGGAGCAAGTTTTTTGCCGTTGCCAAACCGTTTAATTCCATAACAAGGCTTAACCTTAAAGAACACACGGTCTCCAGACTCCAACCTCTACGTTCGGTGATTGCCCTCTTTGTTTAGCATGAGTCTTCGAACGGCTTTTGGGAGTGAGAAGGGATTGTGTAGACTGTTTCTCTGTTTTGATAGCCACCCTAACAAAATCAGCACACCAAAGAAAATAAATAACTGATGGAAACTTCGTTAGGTTTTGCATACCCAACTTACAGAAGATGATGTAGTTTCAAAACTAGTGGGGCACAACATAGCCAATTTATATATATTTCATGTTTGCATTTTGTTTAATCAGTGGGAAGTAACAATAATATGCAGAAAAACAAGTTGTATTGATCCATCGAGCAATCGGCATGCTTTTGAATCAATTCCTCAAGCGAAACATATAACTCAGTCTTTTATAAAACATAAAATAAAAAACTGATTTAAGTTCTACAAACTTCACCATCAATGACTGATACGAACAAGGGGAAGTGTAGAATCTGTGACAGAACTAGTAACCTACAGTATTTGATGCTTCTTTGAAATACCTACAGCTTTCAGAAAAATAAGTAACTCGACAGTGATCTTGTATTTTGAATCAGATGGGGTGCACGTTGGATAAAAACTGTCATGAAGTTTGCAAGGATACGTAATTTTTTGGAAATTGGAACTAGAGTTTCTGGCAAGATATGCAATGGTTTAAAATTAAATGGATTCATCAAGCATACAAACTTCACCTTGGCTAATTGACATGAACAAGAGAAAATGCAACATGCAGAATTGACTTCCTAAACGAAAGTAAAAATTTTAAATAACAACAAACACACACACACACACACACATATATATGTACATATATATATATATGGTTGAAGTAGATATACACTCACCCAGAAGTTGATGTTGATGATTCGGGTTTATCTGTTAGACTGAGTGAAGATAATGGTTTTGAAAGGAACTCCACAGGATCAGCTTCATGGCAACTACTAGAATCCACCGGCCATCTCATTGGAACAGCAGTGCACTTATCAATACACTTGTGCTTGCAACGATTCATCTTATCCACTGTATAAGTCCCAAAAATGTTGTCAAGACGCTTTGCTAGTCTAGGTATATCCGAAGATGTCACGATATCCCAAACCTTCATAACCTGGATGTAATATGATTTCTCCTGAAGAATATCCACAGTCCAAATGAGATTCAGCAGCCTATTGACTTTATACTTCTCTAACAGTTGAGAAGAAGTCCCGTCATGAACCATCATTCCCTTATCCTTGTGTGCGTGACGCCATCCACTTGAAAGCTTCGTTAGTAGATTAAGCACTTCTCGACGAACCAGAGTGTCTTTAATCTTTGCTAATGATTTCTCAAATTCATCAGTGAAGCAAACCTATATGGAAGAGGTTGACAAACAATATTGTAACAACCAAACATCACACTGCATTTTATAATGTAAAAAAGAAGAAATGTTCTTTAAAGAGGGATGATCCCGTTGTGTTCTCGTATTATTTACTGATGTTCTTCCTCTCCCTCTTTCGAAATTAACAGACAATTAAATAATAAAATTCTGCAGAAAATTAACATAATACTTTTGCAGGCCTCGACGTTGTACATTGTTTAGTATAGAACAGCAACATATAGTAAAAAAATTAAATGGATGAATAGCAGCAAACCTTCCATCTCGCATTTTTGAACAGCAGAGATTCAATACTAAGTAGAGCATGAAATCGGTCAACCTCCAGCAGGGCAGCAGCAATAGCCTGTGCCAAGTTCTTGTCCTCGTCAGCATTGTGAAAACAATCGCGTCTCTTGGCATCAAGGACTAGCTTCTTCCAGATAGAGTCACTGTTAACCAAAGTCGACGCATTCCCCAATATCCAAAGACAATACCTACACAGACACAATCAAAACCACTAAATTCAAAACCTCCAGTAACTAAGACATTTCAAAGTAAGCTGCATCATGAATAATTGTATGTAACGTAATTCTATAAAAGTACTACCGTGCACGTGTAAGTGCAACATTTGCCCTTTGACAGTTGGACAAGAAACCAATTGCACCTTTCACGTTACATCTGACAGTGGAGATAATTATCACATCCTCTTCACCACCTTGGAACCCATCAACAGACCGCACACTTACAGAGAATTGAGGGTTACACTTTTTACTGTATTTTTTCACACCCTCTTGAATTGCATAAACTTGAGCCTTGTATGGTGATATGACTCCAATACTAACCTTCTTCTTGGTGCCGATGAATTCTGCAGCCAAGAAAAGAAAATTAACAAGAACTAGGTTTTGTATATTTATATACAAACTTCCTGCGATAATTCTCAAAATAAGTATATCAATGAGATTAGACAACAATAGAATTACCTTGGTAAAGTCTTGCAACTATCTCAGAGACCACAGCAACCTCGACCATATTTTTCTGACTATGACCATGATCAAATTCTTCTTTTCCATTGGCTATATTTATGAAGGAGTAAGATTGGTACATCTTTCCCTTGAGGAAGCACCTCTGATAGCTTCTTTCAGTGACATTCGGACCATCTAATATCTCATTGTTATAGAACTCCATATTTGGAAATAAGCTGATGGATGGATGCATCCTATATTGGATATTGAGAAGATGCTTCCTGTGTCCCAACTTTGTCATCCTTTCGAACAAGCTTCTTCCAAACTCAGCCACTTTCGCTCTCTAATGATATGATCCATTTCATTATTATAATGTTACAATAATATACAAGTTATACTAGTAATTTGAAAAAGTAAAGAACATGAAGGATAAAAATAACACCTCGCTTTTAACCATAGCAGGGAGTTGCCGCTCATCTCCTATTAGAATAGCATGGCGGATACCAGACAGTTGTAAAGGAATTGCAGACTCACATTCTTTAAGCTGAGCAGCTTCATCAACGACTAACAATTCCAGTGGTCTCATCGGTAATGCATTAGGCAATTTGGCAGAAGTTGATGCAGTACAAAATATTAAGCAAGCATTTTGCAAGCAGAAAGTTCTTATTGAATAAGAATCAAGAGTTTTTGGGACACCAAATTTCTGAGGAAGCAACTTCAGTTTACAAACACACTTGTTTCCCAACTGTATAAAGCGACCGACAATGCTTCCTGAAACTTTGAAATCTTTTAGGACTAAGTTTAAACCTTCCTTAGCAACACTGATACGATGCATGGAAGATTTATAGGACTTGAGCAAACCCGAAGCTTCATCCATGTCCTTCACTACCTTCAGTGGAATGCAAGAAGTTGGTAAGTGAGTGTACAAATTTACCATGCAGATCTTCAGTGACTCAAAAATTGAATCAAACTTTTTCTTCACAAACTCCTCAAACGTCAATGGATCATCCTCTTTTACGCTTTCATTGTTTCCTTTAGTACCCTTCTCAATTCCTTGAGCACTTGCTTTGTGTTTTTCTGCTCTCTTTGTGTTTTTCTTCTCATTTCCTTGAGCACTCTCTTTGTGTTTTTCTGCTCTCTTTGTGTTTTTCTTCTCATTTCCTTGAGCACTCTGTTCTTGTTTTTCTGCTCTCTTTTGCAAATATAAAGAGTACTCTTCATCTGGTTCCTCAAGTAGACGTATCATTGAACTTAACAGATACTTCCATCCAGAAAAGGGCCTCAAACAATTGATCAGTATTTTAATACGATGATCGAGAAATACCTCAAGAAGGTCAGCTTTATCATCAACCTGCATTCGCTTCCGGTTCCCAAAGAGAACTATATCTCCAAGTCCGTACTTTCCAAACTCAAGTGACCCATTAACCAGACCCCTGAGCCGGGTTGCAACTTCTAACACCGCAATATTGGTGGGAGCACATGTTAGTGTTCTGCACTTGAGCATAAAGAGGGCAAAGAGAGACAGACTGACTGTCTTTGTCTTCCCAGTACCTGGAGGACCCCAAATCAATTTGACATCATTCTGATGATGGCATTTACTCAAACCGATAAAGTTTAAAACTGCAGCTTCTTGGGAGTAATTTAGTTTGTGAGAGGAAATAGTGGGCCAAATGGTAGAAAGGTCAGGGGAGTAACTTTGTATGGGAGAGCAAGTAGTACAAGAATTCGCATCCTGTACAGAAAGAAACATAACGTTTAGTGAGGAACTAATGTGAACTGTGAAGCTTAAAAATAAATGAAATGTTGAGAGAAATTATATGAGTCCAAAGCCAGATACATACATGTGAACTGGGTTGGAGAACTTTCTGAATAATTTCTGTGTTTCCCTCTTTTGAGTTCAAGGCACCCCACACACGAAGATTTGTTGTCATGTTTATGAGATAAACTGCAAAATGTTTTTGTCTCTTGCTCTTTTGTACGTCTTGTTCTCCATAATCGATAGGCTTGGATGAGAGTATTTGGAACTCATGAGCATCAGGAAATTCATCAGGATTAGGTACTTTACTAACATAAGCAATAACATAGTGTCTTGGGGACCTGTTCAAATCATCAACACATTTCGGTTTAACATCCGTCAAGGCAATGAGATCTCCAACCTGTGGCTCGTACATTAATCCGTTGTGCTTCTGATCCGCTTCTGTATCTCTCTTATATACAATATCATAGAACAATTTTTTGGGAGGTTTATGACCTTTCGAACATTCAAGAGTCAATATTTCACAAGTAGGTGCATGCGACAGTTCCGTGATCATATTCGAGTGTAAATCAGCATGTGTTTCCTCAATGAGTGAAGGAACGAATGATTCCAAATAACTTTTCACATTCAAGAAGGTCTTAGGAATCGTAGGCACCTGTTAATTAAGTGAACAAATCCAGTAAAAATTTGACCAAAAAAAAAAACAGGAATCTCTTCAAGTTCCATTAAACTAATACATGCCACCATCATCAAATATATACATGGTGAGAAACCAAATGTCATGCATGCTGACAATGATAAACCCTTCTATCAAACAATAACACGGAATACTTATTGCTATATCTAAGTTTTTTTTTTTTCTTTTTTTTTTTTTGGAAGACAAAATTGGCCTCAAGCAAAATAGATCGGTGGCCAAGTTGGCCAAAGATATAGCTTCCCTTCCGCCTCTGAAGCAAAAAATTTGAATCCCCATCACTTTTTTTTTTTTGGGAAAAATCCCCATCACCTTAGTTTGGACAGATTTATTAGAATGTCACTTGAATCAAATTCTAAAAGAGAAGGAAATTACGAACCTGGTTTTTGTAAAGTTTGTTGTTGAGAACATCGCCGAGAGACCAAGAGAAAACCAGATCGAGCAAGCTTCTTTTGTCTGTAACTTGTTTCTTGTTGCTCACGTTAGTCTTCTCCATTTCTTACACTTGCTCTATTTCTTCAGTGGAGCAGTATCATCGATTTTCTGGCATTCCCTATTCAAATTCTATGGTTTGTGGGGGAGGGGGTGAATGATCATGTTAAAATAGAAGACGGACAGGAAGTTGAAGAGACCAGTACACGCACCTTCCAATAGAGGGTGAGTCGCATATAATGATATGATTAAAGATAGCTTAGGGAAGACCAAGAGACTATGTATGCCTCTCGATTTCTTTTTTTTTTACTTTTTTATCTTCTTTTCTTTGTGGTATAAATTCACTAGAAAAATCAATAAGAATTTGGAAATAGTAGAAAGTTGTGAGAGATCAATAAGAATTAGTTCTTTAGGATTTTTCACACCATAATATATACGATTCGCACCCAACTTTGGTTAAACTTAATAGTAACAATTTTGTCGAACATGAAACCCTTTCCACGAAGAAAACTCCCAAGTCTTCAGGGAGACCATAAAATAAAGTGAGAGCCTTCCATTATTGTCCTTTGCAAAAAGAAAAGTTGTGGAAACTGGAAAGGTATTTAAATTCCCCTCGAGACTAAGTAATCGAATCAGCGTCCAAGCTGAAGCAATTGCCAGTTAGCCAGTCTTCTTTTCGTACAAATTCCACCACTAAATATTTACCACTACATGTTTCCTTTTACTTTATTATTTTACAAAAGTTTGAAAAGAAAAAGAAACACAATTTAATAATTCAATTGAAATAATACAAAGTCTTTGCTTTTTCGTACGAAGCTCATGCTCATGCATATTCATCAATTATAATTGGTTAATTTTTTGCGAATTGTTATTGGCGCTCTAAAAATCTCATTCTACACTCCTAACTTTCTATATTTGGAAAGAAAAATACACTTGTGAGGAGAGTAGAATGAGATTTTTGGAGTGTCAATAACATTTCCCAATTTTTTTGAAATGTCATGTAAACTAATATACCTTTTTTTGGAATTTTTAGGCCATTTCAACACTTCACTGCCATTCTAATAAGTTGCATTCGACAAAAAAAAAAGGGGAAATTTTATTTAGACCCATTTATCATCTTTCTATACCTAACTTATTATTTTTTATTTTGAAATTTCAAATGTGTCCAATAATTCTTTCTACACCCAACAAGCACAAAAGGAAAATAATAATAATTTAGTAATAGGCAACTTCAGCCACCCTATCTCTTCAAATCTCAACTACCCAGTTTCTAATCTCCCCAACTCCCCGCCGCCACCTCCCTTACCACCCACAACAATTTGGAAATTAGAACATTATTCCCAACAACCCATGATTAAAAAAACCCAAAAGAAACATGTCAATATTTTAATTTTTTTTTTGGAAAAATTAATGGTATTATTAACATATGGTCCAACACAATCCGATTCAACACCTCGACAATTTTGGCATAATTCGAACATGTTAGAAGGACTGCATGGAACAGAAAGCTATTGTGTGGCTGGCAAAAAGTCGTGAAAGGGACATTGATGGCTGAGATCTTTTGGGGGTTTCATTGTGGGTGATAAGAAGATGGTGGTGGGGGTTGGGGAGGGGTAGAAATTGGGGGTGGTTAGGGTTTGGAGTGATGGCATGGCCTAGGTTTTTTAATGTTGAAATTTTATATTTTATTTTTTTGTTCTTTTTCATTATGGGTGTAGAAAGAAAATTGTTGGGCAGATTCAGACTTTCAAGATTAAAAACTATAAGTTGGGTGTAAAAAGAGGATAAATGGGTCTGAATAAAATTTCCCAAAAAAATTTCCAAGGTTTCTTAAAAAACACAAAAAAAGGGTTGATCTGGAAAACAATATTATGAGGATTCTTAGTTCAAATAAAGGAAACAACCTACGCTCTCATCTCTATGTGTCATTTTCAAGATGACTAATAAATATAATCATTGGGACCCTCCAATCTATAATTTTTTTGATGAAGAAAATGCTGTGAACTTTAAGCATTCTTTTACCATTACTTAGTGCCTTTGATTTTGAACACGATAACAATGGACTAATATTTTTGATATGATAGCAATAAAATGAAAGACATTGCCATGATTGACCACATTTTATTGTGTGTACATGATTGACCGCGTTGAATTCTCAAAGTTGGCAGTTAACCACAACTCCATGTTAGTGAGTTTAATGTACTCTTTTAATAGTTCACATAAGCTTTTAGAACAAACACAACATGTTTTTTTGGCATAATTAGATTGTCATCATGGAATAGGATGCGTTTCTCATTCAAACCAGGTGTATAAGATTGAATATTGAATTTGATCATTTTCCTTAAAATTAGCTGATTATTATTGACTTTTTGAGTTGGCTTTCTTTTACATTTCTTAATTAACGTTTGCATTTTACAAGGTCATTTAAGGGTCTAATAAATATTAGGTTTCCACATAATATGAGCTTTTGCTCTTACAATTTTGGAGGTATCAAAAAATATCGTGGCTGTGATTTTAAGAATAAGAGCAACTTGTCCAATTCAAATCCATCTTTCGCCAAATATTCATACCAAATCCCAGAATTCATGCCAATGGATACTTCCTCTTGTATTTTTTATATTGTGCACTTGTGCATTCTTTTGTTGAGTTTCTTTCCCTATTTATGGACCTATAATGTTTTTAATATTTATCTACGTACTTGTATGTCTGTACCATATATTTTTGTGTACTGAATATCTGTACTTTTTTCTTTTTTTTAGTATATTGACATTTTTATACTAAGGAGAGGGAAAGTTCGGCAAAACCACACAATGGGCAGTCTAATTTGGCATCGAATTCGCCATCCGAATATTCGTAACTTAAACATATGCGGAACTATATAGTCATCTACTAGAAAATAGCGTTGTTGCGGGAATTGAACATATTAGTCGGGACAGGCATGAATAATTTCCACACAAACTAACTTAAAAGACGGTGTAGTACCTAAGAACCAATTAAGTAAAACTTTGCTTGCTATATACGGATATGCATGGCATAACAAAGCATTCATTTGTAGATCGTATTGTGCCATCAGTATTATACTCATAGTTTCAAGTGCTCAGCCTACTATATGAGGGAAAACACAAAAAAGGGAAAGTAGAAAAGTTGAAGACATAATATTTGAGCATCTGGCAGGAATAGCAAGGTTCTGAAAAAAATTGCTAAACCATCTCACAAATTCAATTGTTAAACATTACACTGTGACCTAAGATAAAGATAAAGTATATAGTTCGTTCAAAAATCAAAACAAAGTGCTATCAAAGGAAAATGTTTAAGATGATGAAAATAAAAAACTGAACTCGACAACCATATTTTCTATCGGTAACCAAACGAATAATTTAGAATGATACAAACCCAATTCTAGCTCATCTGACTGCTCTCATCCTCAGCTCTGTATTTCAAAGGCTGAGTAGCCATGTTTGCAGAAGTTGCCAAATAATCACCATCAGAAGATTGAGAATAACCCACATTGTTCACATCGCACAAAATTTTATAGAAACGGGGACAAATTAACATATTTAAAGTTAGCAATAAGATGTAAACATATTCGAAGGCTGAGTAGTTGATTGGATTCGTTTCATTTTTCGAATCCAATGAAAATACAAAACGAAAAGGAATTAAAGAATGTTACAATTTAAGTATTTCAAATTAGTGATTAATCAACCAATCAGTCAGTCTCAATGATCTATCAATACCATGGACATCAATCAGAAATTCAAGTAAACCCGGTAAACTATCGACTCCTCAACTCCATCACTCTTCCACCATTGTTTCTAATTTACCTCTCCTTGGAGTTTTTTGATTACTAATTTATATACAGCAAATTGAGCTGTCCATTTCAAATCAAATATACATGGGCAGAAAAGCAAAACCTAAACTCATGCCACATAAATTAATCAATAATCAAAGAAAAATTCTTGGAGACCAGAACAAATCCAATTGGATTTTCATGCAAGTGATTGTAATTGCCAAACAAAACACATATATTTAACTGCCCAAAATTTAAGCATTATCATAATCAATCTATTCTTGTAACAAAAACAGTTTCTCAGCCGTTGGGTATTTTCTGTGGCTTTCGATCAATAGTTGTACTTGTATAGAAAAAAAGTAAAATAGTCGAAAACAAATGAAAGAAAGACGGATCAAATTATTAAGAAATCTAAGTTAGAGTTGTTAAAATTCACTTTCATGTGTACGATTCAAACTTCAACAAATTTATTAACATTTTACCAATCGTCAGACATTGCTAATTGCCAAGATAGCAAGATAATGAATTCCATGAACGAAAAAAAAAAATGACATGCAACTTCAACTTACCATGCCAAAGAAGCTCCATAAGAGGTAGTGGCTTCCTCCTTACTGCATGTATCAAAAGCATTGCAACCGTAGATCCTAGAAATTATAAAAAAGCATCCAGTCAATAGACAATATAATAGTCGTGGGAAGGTGAGTATGCAACCAAGAATCTAAGACATACTTGATTTGTGATTCCATTATAATTTCACACAAAAAAAAAAGATCAAATTTTGATTGAAACATCAAACAAAACAATCTCATCTGTTACAGATTGGACCAACCAAATAAAGAATCTATTGATATGGTTTTCAACCTAACTATAAACAATTTCATATCCTTTCAAGAAAAGATCAAAAAACTAAATTGTTAACATTCCCAAAAACTGAAAATCCAATCTTTGGGGGAAATCCATAAGAGCATGCAGTTGCATCAGTCAAAATATATTCCTTACCTTAATTACACATCTAGAGCTATCAGCTATAGCGAATCTTTTATCTCCAACCTTAAATATTACTCCCTTAATTAGTGCTTCTTTTCAGACCACAACATTGAATACGATTAATTAGGTGCTACATTGGTGGTGATTTGTGAGGACCACTATACTAATTAAATCGTACAATACAATTTCAAGATCTAATTGCAACAACTCAAAATCATAGCAAGACGATCAATCGACGCAAGAAAGAGACCTTAAGAGTCGGGATCATTTTTCCTTGAATATGAATCCGCATCATGTACCCAACTAAGATATAAATCCCCATAAATCCATTTCTGGAAAGTACTAAAATACCCAAAACAAATATATATATATATATATATATATATATATATATATTATATCAGTATGAATATGAGGGATTGGATGAGGAAGTCTAAATACACCAGTAATGGTGAGTGGTGAGGATGAGCTTGATACTGAAGCCATGTTCTTGGGCTGCTTTCAGAACCTTCTCAGGTTCAACTGGATCCACAACCGCTGCTTTTTTGGTACTCTCGTCAATAATTCTAAACACCAAAAACAAATGAATTTAGAACTGATCAATATTTAAGCATAATTAATTAATAAAACCCTAATTAGGATGATCAGAAATTGAGATGAAAAGGATGGATACAACCTTTGTGCTTTTAAAAACATGCTATAAATTTGTTCCACACTTAGAAATACAGGAAATTATAGAATTTTATTCAAGTGCTCGCAAGCGTATAACATTACCTGCATCCCATTCATGAAACCAAGGCTTATACACCCAAACTAAAAGGCAAAGCCCTTGAACGCATCTCCTGGGGCTAAAACCAACAGAAAAAAGTTAATACCTGATTATTCGCATTTATTTATATATCATATAGCAGCACATTAAACTCATTACTAAATCGCCTATTTGGGAGAGAGAATCTAGTATTGACATCATAAGATTGCTATATAACAGTGAAAATATGCCTACATTCCCCACCACTGAGTGCAACAAAATCCATGGTCTTGGGTGTGAACTTACCCTTCGCTAGCGTAGTGGGTGTTCTTGAGAAGTTGGAGCCTTTGGAACAGTTCGGGAGCTTCTCTGGGAGGCTGAAGCTTCAGCTGTCTGGGAAGCATGCTTGCAACGGGTGTATCAGAACCTCCTACATTAAATCAGTCGCAGGAAAACATTGCCAAGAAATGAAAATCAAACAAAATGAGCAACTCAGATGTTAATAGAGAACACAATTATCTAAGATTCCCAAACTCCTTCAAACACATAAATTTTCTAGAGTGAGAGAGAACTGATACTTAGAAATCTGTACCATGTAATTGGGGCTGTACACGGGCTCCATTTTGTACACCGCCGTGTTGCGCAGAAGCAATACTGGAATCCTTAGTGTTTATAGTGGCTACACTGGCTCTGGATTGTCCTCCATGTGCATTGTTATTATGCTACTTAAAACTGAATATTTGAAATAAAAATCATCAAACCCTAAAATTTCCAACAATCTCAAAAATTCCAAAATGCATTAAAAACCTCAATTTGAAATAGTAATCCAAAGCAATATAATTGTATAGATTGTTAAAAGTGAAGGAAAACTGATCAGGAACAAACCCTACACAAAAACAAATATGCAAATAAGTAGATACGACATACACACACACACACATATATATATGCACCTGCGGTTGGAGGAGATAGAAGGGCCGAGCCCACCGGCGCCCGTGCCCATAGGGTAAGCAGGTGAGTATCCCCTGTGAAAATTATGAAACCTAGTGAAAAGAGCGCATGTGGGAAAGAACGATATCACCATCGAACACATAGAAACTGCAGCTGTAATAGCATTCAAAAAAGTCTTTGTTCTATACGACATAATAAAAGAAATAACAGTGAGCCATAAAAAGTAAAAATAAAAAATTGGGGATTGTAAATTGTAATCTAATCACCCAATAAAAGAAAAAAGAAATTAAGCACAACAATATCAAAATTAGAAGGAATAATATGAAACCTTGTGCATAGAACGCTCGTGAGAATGAATCACACAACAATCAAGGGTGGACAAATCGCAAAAGTGACAACTAAAGGGCACCTAATAGACACCCCCATCTCTCAGTCTGCAACAGACACCCCCGTCTCTATCTCTCTGCAATTGCAGAAATCCCTCGGGTTTCAGAGCAAATGGAAAACGAAGTGCTTTTCCATCCCCTACCCATACCCATACCTCCCTTACCCATTCCCTTTACCCTCGCAGAAAATCCTCCCATCTCTCTCTCTCACCCTTGTCACATCTCTCTGCCTGCAAATCACAGAAAAGAAACCCAAAACAAATCCATGAAATCCCTCGCCTAAATCCTCCCACATCTCTCTCGGACACCCCTATCTATCTTTGTGCAAACCCTAAACCAAATCTCCTAAATCCTATCTCGGACACCCCAAAAATAGCCAAGAAGCCAAAGATATTAAAGCAATCTCTACATAATTCTTTGGAACAATGAAGCAAACAGGTACTTACTTGTTCCTTGTCCAAAATTATTGGTGGCGCCGTACATTGTTATCAATTGTGGGTTTATCAAATCCTTCATGGCTTAGACTGCATGAAGAATTAGAAACAAAAAGATGAATATATGCTGTAAAATATCATATAAATGTAACTGCATTTAAAAAAAAAGAAGGGAATGAAAAAATCGAATTCTATTTCAACAGTATGTAACTGCATGAAAAGTTACATTGAATGCAGACTCAATCAATTTCCCCAAAGTCATTGTTAACCGAAAATCAATACCAAACCCATAATTACCACCACTGAATTTGGCAAAACCCAAAAACAAAATACAAAAATTTACTCATATAATCACAGAAAAACATGAAATTTGAGCACCCATTTGGCCAAGTTAAAGGATAAAGGCACTCACATCATCGAAGTACTGTTTGAGAAGACCTTCTAATACTGGTTCTTCCTTTTTCGTGCTCTTCCTCAGAACTGCCATAAAAATAAAAAACTGGAGAAGCATACAAATTCAGAAAAGGAAAGGTCCAAAACTGCCATAAAAAATCCAGAAAGCATACAAATTTATCAGAAAGAAAAGCTCAAATTACAAAAACCAACTGATGTGAGTGAGTAGTGAGAGGTTGTGTTAGGCACCTGAGACACGTTTTGGTTTCAATTGAGAGGGCCATAGCCTTGCATGTGAGGAAGATGACTCTAGGATTCCAGAGACAGGGAAAGGAGGAGTAAGACGACGGAGGCGAGAGGAGGATAGGACGGAGGCGAGACCGTCTGTGTCGTGGGTCTGCGAGACGGAGGAGGCAAGGAGGATTTGAGAAGCAGGTGGAAAAGGCCGGCTTTACAGTCGTTCTTCCCATCCCGCGATCATCAACACGAGTGCATCAAGATCAGCGGCAGAGATAGCCTGTGGCAGACTCGTAAATAAAAATTGAGCCACTGAAATCAGCCCTGTGGCAAACTCGTAAATAAAGTGAAATTGAGGCAAAATTGCACAGTGCCGTTCCCACTCCTAATTCAGTCTAAAGTAATGTATCCGTAAAAATAAGAACTTTAATATAAAAGATAAGAACTTTAATACTATAAGTACTTTAATATGACATAACATTGAGTTTTAAATGGACATGCGTAAATCAGATTTACAAACCATTCATGTTAGAATCTAAAAGATATCTTATTTAAGTTCTAAAATCTAGATATTTTCCCTTTTTCATTAGTGTAGATAATATCGTTTATTCAAAAGATCTAAATACTCCATGTTTTTTAACTAGAGCCCAAAGTTTAAGGGTTTGTATTAAAGAGAAGTAAAGAACTTGTGAAAAGGATGTTGAAAGTCCGAAATAACCCTAGACACAAGTCATGTGCTAGGCATATGATTTATATTGGATGAAAAACTTAACGGAGTTAAAGTAAAATGATAAATTAATGATTTCGAAAAGTTGATACGACAATTGCTTAATGACAAATTAAAAAAAAAATGTAAAATTTCACATAACATTTCTAAAAGTTTTTCATTAAGATTACAGTGTGATAACAAAGTAGAATAAACAAGTATGATCTAACATCCAATTTTTGTGATTGGCTTATTAATTGATTTGCCCTACAAAACTGTCATTTAGTCTAATTTTACCAAAAAATACTTGTGCATAGCATAACTTGCCACTAGATATACCGAGTAGCAATATTATCCACTCAAAGCTTGCCACGTTATGAGTTGTAAGTATAATTTTCACCTTTTCTTTTATATTCAAATTTATCATAATTAATTTTCATCCTATTTAATATAGACCATCAGATTAATCTAACGGCTTTATTTCCTCTCCCCTTTTTCTTCTCAAACTTTCCCTACGGTATGAAAGTGGACATCTCAACTTTAGCTTTTCAAGCATGCTTCCAGATGCAAGTATTTGTGGTATTTGTCAGAGGAAATTAGTGTTAACCAAAATAAAGTGAAAGATAACAAATAGATTGTGAAATTTAACTTCATAATCTCGAGTGAGTATGTACGTTTATATTTATATAGAGACTTTTAGAGTTTACAATTAAAATTCTATGCCTTGTAGGATAAAGATTAACACACAAACTACTAGTCATAAATATATTAGGTGATGAGTCAATTTCATATTGTATATTTTACCTTATTCTTAGTATATTTTGGTAGAGTTTTGATACTTTGTTTTATATTTTTAATATAGGACATTCGACTTCCTCTAGAGCAAAAAGTAGTCAAACGGATGAATTTTGAAGTGATTCTAATTGGAGGAAGTTCGTATGTTCCTTAGCTTGTTCCTATCAAAGTTTCATAATTTTCCACCAAGCGGTTTATTTATGGCGATGAAATAAAGGAGCAGCGTGCAGTGCTGTCAAACTGATGTTTTGAGCTTCTTTGGGCTTTTTGGCGTCCAAAATAATATATTTTGGGTTCGAGGCCTTTTGCAATTATGTTTGGGACATCTCAAGCTTTAATTCAAGTCATTATGGGTCTGTTTTGGAGCCCTGGAAGTCCAAAAACGTGGCTGATTTGTGGCTGGGTAGATTTCTCATATTTCATTAGGATTATGTTTCTTAATTTATTTTAATTTATTTGGTTTCCTAGTATTATTCTAAGACCTTTTCTAGGTAGGGTTTTATTTTCTAGTAGTATAAATAAGGTTTTTTATCCATTAGGGTTTTTAGAGAAAAGGGGGAGAAAACGCACTACTTTGTATTTTCAAGGTGTTTTCTATCTATGTTTTTAATAATATTTTATTTTATGATTAATCGTAACTAGTTTTCGTTTGCTAGGGCGAGGCCACGAACCTTAACAAGAATATGTAGTTTCTTTTTAATTTGGTTATGATATTATGCATGCAAATTTTGAATTATTAATCACCGGTTTAAACTATCTAATTTTCTTGATGATTGGCCACCATTAGGATATTTAGAAAAGTAATTTGATGCAATTTTGACGGAGGTTTGTCCCTGAAATTGGCGTTAGCTTCTTGTGGTTAATATGTTTAACTTCTCAGTATGGACGACACGTCTTAAGGGTTATATGGTTTTTCAAAAGGTTTTCACAAAATTAATGAGTCCTGCATGTTCACATTCAATCTGGACGCCACGGATGGGTCGCACGTTAGATATACATTATATGTTGGAGGTTCCAAGTAGGGCATACTTTGGGAAAACCTAACCTTCAAAATATGCATATGTAATTCATAAGTAATTGGAAGAACTACATAGGATTGTTAAGGTGACGGCGGAACTCTAGTGCTCAAATTTATTTTCAAAACTATTTTCTTTTGTTTCTTTACTTTCTTGATCTATTTAATTGATTTTAATTAAATTCGTTTTTAATATTTTAGGTAATAAAATCAATCTTTTTCAAACTTTATTTTCAAATAATTAATTAAGATTTGGTATTTACATAAATTATTCATTCAATCCCTGTAGAGAACGACATTGCTTGAGTTGCTATAATGCGATAATCTTGTATTCTTGCAAGTATTTTTAAGTGTTTTTATCCCTACTTTTGCAGATGGTAAAAACCTCTATCCTTAGGATTGCAACTTCTTATCGATTCTGGATTGGACAGCAGGAAGAGTTGTGCTAGGCATCGACGTATTGACATTCCAGGCAATAAAGATTGTCGGTTTATTACAAAAAAACCAACAATTATAAATTTTTTATTTGTTTTCCCTGTTTCTCGTGAAGAAACGCAAGAAATAATGTGGGTGAGCGAAGAATGCATACGGAAATTTGACCAAAAAAAAAAAAAAAAGGAGAGATGGAAGAAGAGAGAAAAAAAAAAAAAAAAAATCAGCCCTTAGATGAATCTGTGGTGTGTACTTATCAGAAAGAAAATTAATTATGACAAATTCAATAATAGAAGAATGGAAAGAAAAATATATATAATTAAAGCTAGCCACATAGCAAGCTTTGAGTGGATGATAAAGTGGATGATAGTGTCACTCAGCAAGATCTAGTTGCAGGTTAAGCTCCACACAAATTTTTCTCCATTTTCCCTCTGTAACTTGGTTTGTCTCACTTTGCCTTCTGAATACTGTCATTTTCATATCATTTAGTTAGGTTACCCAACTTTTGTAAATTCCATCAAATAAGCCTTAAATTAAAGGATAATACGGACATTAGATCGATTTAATTCCAGGATTGAATTTGCAACTCTAAATTCACTTCTCCTCGTTCACTTAACCCTAATTTGTTTCCCCAACTTTTCTCCTCACAAATCACATCGGCTTGGTAAATATGGGGCCTTCAACCAAAATTTTCACATAAAAAATAAAATTTCTTAATTACTTTTTAATTTAACGATTATTTAACAGAATGGACAAAAATAAGATGAACTAAAACTAAATGAAAAGATAATGACACATCAATTAATAAGCCTTTTTTTAGAGAACGTTAATGAAAAGTTCTGGATACTGTTACTTTAACAAAAAAACTACAGTTTTACACTAAAATGTCAATCCTGGTATTATCCACTTTACCCTTTATTTTGTCCTTATATTTAAAACTCAAAGTTTTCAAACATTTTTCATTAGTTTTCCTTTTATTTTATAGATTGACCAAAGTTGAGAAAATGCTTATAGACATGTGTTGTTTCCTTATATTTGAGTAACAAAACTTGTGCATTACTACTTTCGAATATTTTATTTGGCTCAAAATTCAAAATGCAAAAAGATATAAATATTTAAATAGATAGTTCCCCTTATAAGTTGTTATTAGAATTCCAAAAAAAATTATTATGCAATTATATATTCAATTCCTGGTGCTGGTAAATTACACAATAGTGATCAAAGGGAGGTTGAAATGCCTATACGAGTCTTTTTGGTTCCTAAAATGAAGGACTGTCGTGGCGAAGTCACCAGCTAATTCTCTTTTATAAATAAAAAAAAAAAAAGGACATTTCCTTTTATAAATTGTTATTAGAATTAAAAAAAAAAGAAGTTATCATGCAATCCATTCTTTGCTTTATTTTCTTTTCACTATGAGTTGTTTAAAAATGTCCCGCTTCTCTTCAATTGAATAACTCTTTTCAAAAAGGTCTTCGGTACTCATGTTACATGGACATGGTACCCACAAATACAATTGATCTTGAAAAGCAACAATAATATATTTTGGAGACATTTAGATTTGGGTCAAAAAATCAACATGCTATTAGGTTAAGTTCAACATTACCTTTTCTTCACTTTTATTTTTTACACTCATTTTACGTTTATTAATATTAGAGATAATTAAAATCTTCTAGTTTTATTTTATGCATCTTTTTGTTTGTGCTTTTGAATTTTGAATATTTGAAAAGTGGTTTAATTTTAGGAAATATTTATTAGCACTCTAAAAATCTCATTTCGCATTCCAAACTTTCTATAATTAGACACAAAAATACACTTAGAGCAACTCCACCGTTGCAAAGGCCCCCCCATGCTATTCACTATTTAATCCACCCGGTGAACAGTAATTATCATTAATAAATAGTAACTACCTTTTGCATCTTCACCCCTACACTGAATAACCCCAGCAAAATAATAGTATTTTTTTTTTTTATTATAAAATAATGCACCCTTACACTGAATCGATCACAACCCTTGGGCATCTCCACTTGAGTAGTTCACAACCGTTGGATTTGCCGTTGGAAATGCAATTCCATCCCTTGAATATCTCCTTGCAGGTATTATCATACCTCGAAGGGGAATCCGGGTCATGGATCCATTTTCCGTCAGAGTAGTCACACGACCCGCCTCGACGACTCGGGTCGGATCTGTCAATCTTTTGGAATTCGAAGCTTATG